GCAATTGGACAGATCAAAATTATTGAATCGCATATTATTTAAAACGCCTAGTATAGATTAGGTATTCTAAGAAACCAATTTTTTAATCGATAGGGAAATTTATTTCCTACCCAGTTTTTTATAGAACGAATAACGTTGACTTTAATGTTATACTGGGTAGGAAATAATTTTCCCCGACTGTCAATCAATACAAAAATAGGATTCTTAGATCAAAGTAATGTTAATTTCAAAGACGTGTGTCGGTACATTGGTGTGCGTTTATCATCTGTCAGGGTGACGTCATCAAGGAATGATAAAGCGGAATCGGGTAGTCATTTTCTAAATTGCATTTTCGCGGCCGCGGCTCAGAGATATTAAATTTGTGAATATTCGCGAGATGTCACGTGACGGCGGTTGTTCCAGATTACGTTACGTTACTGGCAATTTACGCTAATCTTACGGCAAATCATTTTTATAATTTAAACACGCGTTTCCTTCTAAGATTAGATATTAAATGTAAATCAAATACATCGAAAATGATGACGCAATTTTATAGGACAACGTTTTTATATCCATGGGGGTGCAGCACAATTTTTACCTTATTTTTTGGTACAGAGCTTTCTTAATCTCCAACATCTTGATATATTTGATTATTGTCTCTGAGTAAATAAGACCTTGTTTCATATCATAACAAATTATTTAAAAAAATAGTCCAACCGAAACCACGATAGGCCGCTTGTAATTTTTGCATTCGTGTTCACTGTTTCTGTTTAAACATTCAAATAACCTATTTTCAAACTAACTTTCGCACGCGACTCCGTCCGCGTGGAATTAAAAAAAACAAAAGTGAGTTGTCTATGTGTTCTTCCATATTATCCTCTACATCTATACCAAATTTCATCGAAATCAGTTCAGCTGTTTAGGCTACAAACTCTAACAAACATCCATCTAAACTTTCGCATTTATAATACTAGTATGATGACATTTTACTCACATTTTATTTCTCTTGTATATAGAAAAACTAACGTTTATATTTAGTCGTATTCAGTCTCATTTCTGGGTCACGGTCACCCCCCTCACGTTCAAGTACTTTTATTTAAATGTTATTTTATTACAGTAGCCATTAAAAATAAAGTTAAACGCAGAATATAACTGCTCTAAGAATAAATGAAAAGATAAATACAACTAAAAAACCTAAATCGTCGGACTATTGAAAACTTTAGTTTTATATAGAAAAGCTAAAAAAAATCTGACATTTGCGTGTAATAAAAAAAAACAATATTAGAAGAGGGGAGTCATAGGAAGGGAAATATTCTTTCTATACGTCACTCTGAAGACTAAAGGTAAGCAACGCATCTGGAATTGCGGATATCTACTCGTATTAGCAAGTCTCTTCGCCATTCCGGCGAATTTATGTCGCCGGTTTCTTATTTGTAATCTTAGTGATTTATCATACTTGTCTTATTATTACCACAATAAGTGATTAAATTTGAACACGTAGATGTCGCCGTTCGTGTTAAAAAATTGCCGCGTCATCGGCGATATTAAAACCTCCGCGGTTCATAATCAATATATGTTGAACACGATCCTCGTGTCGATATTTTGTGATCGCTGAGTACTTTGAAATGAACTCATGAGATATCACTTGTTTTATAGGCAGTCGTTAACATGTATGAGAGAACTGACACTAAGCTCTTCAAATCATAATAAAACAATTGCTAAACGAGTTTAAAATTAGAATATGACCCTTGTCTAATACAACAAATATAAACTACAACAGAATGTAAAAAGTCAAGCATAAATAACACATCGCGCAATCTGACAGGAAATTATAACAAAGCAACGGCGAGAGCTCTTCCATTCCCTGTGACATGACAAAAACTTCGTTACATTTCATCTAACCGCACTTCTATCGTGTCCACTTCCACGGAAAATATTTAGTTTTTTGTGCGGTTTTTAGAGAAATTGAATCTACGTTGGAACACTGGTCCGATGCACTCATATATCAGACGGCGAACGAATTAGTGAGCACACGGAAACTTTGAACTTGTACATTTTTGCATTTTTCACAACGAAATCAACGCGAACAAAAACTTGCCAACAAAGTCGAAGATTTCTTTTCTTTAATTGTTTTCTCTTACGTAAAGATTAGCAAAGCACTTGTAACTCTTCTGTTTGTTAAAGAGAACTTATTAACTTAGTAGATTTAATGTCAGCTTAGCCTTTTTCCTTTTCCTAGAATCAAAAATGCTTTGTTATTTTTCTCCCTTCTCTTTAAGGCTTTACATTTATTTAAAAAGTTATCGTGGTCAAATTGTTAATATTCAACAAACTGCAGTAAAATTTTAATTAGATTCATTTTATTTTAAATATCAAATTAAATAATTATAATGCCTGGAGCATTAAACTCTAGCAGGGGAACATAAAACCCTTTCACAATTAGGAAATGAACTGTTAATAAGATGAAAATTAATATTTTATGGGTGCGAGTTAAATTCAAAATGACGCCGTTAGCGGGCAATAGCCGGAGATGGTCGGATGAAATAGCCTTAAAATTATTAACAGGCCTAATTAAATAAAACATTGCACAGAACCTATACGTAATTCCAAATTAAAACCTACACTTTAAAAAAAATTAATTTACGATAGAACGAAAAATTACAATTTCCGTACAAATTTTAGAAACAACAACTATACCGAACAATGTAAGGTGTTTTATTATAAAAATTTAGGTCCCCATTTGATGCAGCATAATATTAAATGTACAAGTCCACAGTTTCAGTAGTAACGACGTATTTCGATACAGAGTCGTCGACATTAAAAAATCCCCGAAAGCTTTTAAGCTGACGTCACGACGCTTCGTGAGCGGACTGACCGCCGGCCGCACACACGAGCGGCTGCAGACTATTTACTCCCTGCTACATTCATTTGAATAGGCAGAAGTATTTCTACAAATCAATTGCTTTTACGATACAAATTGACAAATGTAATAAACTATTTAATGAAGATTATTACACTTTCACATCACTTTTCCTTTATTAAATATGCCGGTGACCGCAATAGGTCTGCAAGCGAGCGCAGAGTATTGAGGGCACGAGAGAACGCAGCCTCTGTTTAGTGTTCACGTAAATTCACTGATGAACTAATTCCTTGCAGTCCAGGGGAGCGGGGTGGCTGGGTGGCGTGGGTAGGGGGGATGTTTCAAGGTCGGGTCAGTCCGTCGCCGACAATCGGAAGTGGCAACTTTAGTGGCGATAATCCGTGACGGATTTACACGTTGAGTTATGAAGCGATTCTGAGCTAACAACTTTAATATGAAATTGATAATGGAGACTTGATTTACAAGCTTGTTTAGTGAAACGAGAGATGGAAATTGTTATGCAATTTAGACAGGTTAGTAGAAGATGTTATCATTCAATTAAGACGTGCGGTTATATTTCAACGGTTAAGAAACTTGTTAGTACAATAAATGACGTTTCTCGCGTGCCCCGTCATCCCCGCGACATGCCCCCGTCGAGCCTGTCCGCTGCCAGCGTCAGACACGAATGCCTGATTGCAATTAAAATGAGCGCCCTCCGTTAAATTGTCTACAATCATATTTATTTTTTAAACAAAGATCAAGATATTTTAAGTTACTTTGCTTTAATTTATGAATAAAAATAAGGTTAACGCTGCTAAGAAGTGAATATTTCAACAAACCAGGTGAGTTATCTCATTCCGCAGATTTAAATGCACAGAGAATTTAAAATAACTGTCCCAGTTTACAGTACAATATCAAACAATACAAAACTACAACTCTGATTAACCTTGCCTAAAAACCATAGCTCAGCTACGAATTATTTTCACAATTAAAGCGACGTCGCTGTAAAAAGCAGTCAGTTATAAATGACTTCGAGCTATTCCTTTATTATTATTTTGATAGCATCAACAATGGAGCTTTTCGAGGGACGTTTTTGATTGATGATCGTGGTAACCTAACCTAGAAAGTCGTCCGCACGGGCGTCTCCACCGCAACGTTTGTAACGCGGCGGTTGAAACGCTCGTGCGTGTTGTACGGAAATAGTTTTAATAGACGTTATGTTGTTCGTTTTTGCGTTCGTTTCAGCTCCGGCAGAGCTTTGTCTTTCTTATTTCGCATCGATAGAGAGTAACAAAGGCAGCGGCGGACAATGTGGAAATCAGTTTCACATCTATTTTATTTTTCAACGTCAATGTAACTTTATAGGACATAAGAGATTTATATCTAAGTACATAGACATTAAGTGCATATAGACATGAACGTCGAAATAATAGTGTATTCTTTTGATAATAGAGTTAACAAAAATTAGAGCGGGCGCGCATCTTTAACTAAACAATCGCACAATTGTACGATTGTCGATTGTTTTGAAGTCAACTGCTTCCTTGATGTTGGCAGCAACTTGTGGTCTCTTTCTCACATCAGGGTTTTTATCCAAAATATTTACCCCTAAGTTTAATAGCGTTAAAATATATAGTCTAAAGCGTGACACAAGTGTAGGGCTTTTTATTAAAAAAATAGTTATTCAAAAATATGCAGTAATTGCTGACATCTTAGGCAACAAAGTGTGTGTTTACGCTTTATTATAATAGTATGGATTACACTGTTTTATGTTGATTTACATTTTATACGTAAGTTATTTAACGTACTGATAAAGTGAATTACTTACTGCAGTGGATAACAAACGGGTATCTCCAAGGTTAAAGGAATATATTTAAATTTAATACAAGTTCCTATATTTTTTTTCATTGTCAATGTCTAATTAACAACTTACAGATACTTTGTAAAACCCTATATGTTTAATTAACTGCAATAGGAAATTACTAAAGGTCAGTTTTTTACTAGAAATAATTGAAAATTCATTAACAATTTTATTATATAAATAGTATTTGATATTTTGTAATACCATGTACACAGTCAGATAAAAATGTGTAAAAAAAAAATAACATTCTCACCCCTTTTACTAATAGAATTAGCATATCCACACATGGTAATGACAGCTTACCTCTTTCAGCCGACACGTAGCGACACGCGATGGCGGCAAACATGACAGCTGTCAGCAAGTCGAGCGCCATTTTGAACGCCATCTTGATCTCCTCTCACTGTCACTGACACATCACACAGCGCACAGATAACACACGATATCGATTTAATTCACAAAATGTTGCCAGTTGTTTACACTTCACAATGGTTTTACTCAAACATTTTGTACTCGTTCACTTGATAACCTGAAACAAAAAAAAAAAACATCTTATTAATATGCTTAACAGATTTTTCTTAGGACATTTAAAAGTAAATCTAGTTTAAAATTATAATGCCAATTGACATCTGTTTTTTTATTTTATGTTTAGCACGTCTGCCTTTCCCCTTTAAAAAACTAGCTTTTGCCCGCAACTCTGTCCGCGTAGAATTTGAAAAACAAAAGGAAGTAGCCTATATGTTCTTAAAGACTTTACGTTTATGCTAAATTTCATCGAGCCCCATTCAGCCGTTTAGGCTACAAACTCTAACAAACATCCATATAAACTTTCGCATTTGTAATAAGTAAGATCAGTTAATGATATAGTCAGCACTTTAATATTTTCTTGGCACAATTATAAGTTATTTTATTAATTTACAATAATATCCATTAGGGAAATATTTTGTTTCCTGAACACAACAAATATAACCCGGTAACTACATGAGCTTTCTTTCACGATAATTATTGTTATTTATTATTATAACAGGAACTTTATCGTCGGTCTCGAGTGGTCGGAGTTATGACGGGTGTGCGTGCGCGGTTATTTCGTACTCGACAAAAATAGTACAGCGGTTGCTAAGACGCGGCGCGCGCGACGCTGCAACGAGGAACATTCGACGTTTTGATTTGCCACATTACAAATAAACCGGAAAATCCAGAGTTAAAGAACGCGAATGTTGAGCGCCCCTGGAATTGGGTCGGATAACAAAATGTCAAATCCTTTCATGTTTTGTACAAAATTATGCAACTACTATTTGTGTACTAATGGAATAGTCCGCATTTATAGCTTGCGTTTACGAAATATTTTTCATTTGCTACAAAATACATCATTTACAGAAACTTGTAACGCAGAGGGGTAGGTAGATTATTTCCCAGCTTATATAGAGGTGTGCTACTCGATTTTTAGTTGTGCAACTAAACAGTTGAAGGCTGCGAAACAATCGACAATCGCACAACTATAGTTTAGTCAAAGGTGTGCCTCAGTTCTTATTTGTAAACATTAAAACTGGCTGTATTTACTTCATCCAGAAAAGTAAAACAAACATACAAATACTAAGAATATATACAAATATATTACGTCCAGTGAATTAAAATTCGCTTTCACGGACTTTTCATATTTCGTGAACATGAATAGCGCAGATTCGCAGTTCGCTGAGCTTTATTCTTTTCATTCCGATTGTTAAATAAACACTGATTCATTTCTGTTTCTTTGCACGTAAAAAGTTTTTATATCATTTAATAAATTAAAAAAAGTTTGCAGACTGTGAATTACGATTGAACATTTTAATAAGATTAGAAATCTTACTAATGTAATAAATGCGAAAGTATAGATGGATGTTTGTTAGTTTGTAGCCTAAATGACTAAACAGATATCAATGAAATTTGGCGTAGATGTAGAGTGTATTGTGTTTTTTAATTCCACGCGGACAGAATCACGTCACTAGTACTGTGTAGAAGTGATGAATATTAACTTGGTATTCTATCTGTGTTATTTTTAAGATATTTGAACGTAACAAAGAAGTAGAATTTATTTACTATCGTAAAAATGTGTTTTTAAACAGAAGTTGACATAACCACTGTATATAAAACGGAATATCTAAATATATGTACACAAATTCGAAACAATCTCAACCGGGTCTGTCAGTCAGTGTCAATCTTCATACAGCTGTTGAGTGAGGTGTGTTTTTTACACGTAAACCACAAATTACCTTTGTATTTCCTGAAGTAGTCAATAAATATTCGTTGAGAGTGCGTTTGACAATGTACAGAGTGACCTACATTGTAGTTTGTGCAGAGTGCAGTCTGGGGTCGGCAGGAATTGCAAATGCAACTGCAGCCATTCAGACTGTAGTAAAAACAGATAGCATGCGCACATATCTAGACTAGCTTTAGTTAGTATTCGAGATTAAACCCTTAATTATGTATTGGTTAATTGTAAACAAGTATTTTTTAATTACAAATGCAGTGGGATTTGCTTCTGAATGATTTTTTTTACACTTTTTGATTTATCAGGCGTTTCCTGTATAAAAAGAGAGAAAGCCGATACGATTGCAACATCAAAGTTCTTTTGTTTCGATTATTAAAAAACACTCCTCGTAGCGCCTTTGACTTCAACACGCGGAGAAAGAAAATAACGCGTTAGATCAGGTGCTCCGCAAATTGTCTTTCACAATTCCATAGGGCTGTCTATACTTATAGAGATTTAATATAATGTTTGTTTTATATTATATTCCGCTAAAATAAAGAAGTGACCGCTGCTCATAGACATCCGCAATTGCAAATGCGTTGCCTACACTTAATCAACATAGAGACGTGCATAAATATGATACTTCCCCTTTTTACGCATCTCCTCCGCCCTCAAGTCCACTTTTACTTCTCACCCTTTCCTCTTAAGAAAGAGTGGAAATGAAAAAAGACTAAAACCAGGTTTCTGTGTTGTTTGTTGTAAAACTATTTCAAAAAGGTAAATCTATTAACTTTGCCAAGTACTCTAAAAACGTAAAACAAAATAAAATTACATACAAATATTATATCAATGCTAAATACAATGTAACTTTATCCAAAAATCCTAAACTCATGATCCAAATCCTTCTGACTTTACGGAAATCAATTTCCACATAAGTCCGCCATTTCGACTTATTAATACTATAAAATAATGAGCTGGTAATTTGAAATAATCCGGTCGCACCGGCGACTGTCCGACTCTCGTATTGGCTTGTTAATACGCCATCTACCGGAACAAAGTGAAATTATATTATCAATGTTTCGAATATTATATGCAGATCAAGAAGTTATACTAATTTCCAATATAAATTGAGTCATTTCTAATTCAATACAGAACTTTAACTAAATTACATGCTCCTTATTTCTAATCGATTTCGAAAACGTTAATATTATAAATATGTGCTGTTTTTGTGCTTTCGTTTACAAAATAATCTATTTATTCCTATTTAAGTAACACAAACTGTAAGTCAAATAGAAATCAATCTTTAACACACTTCGATTTCAAATTAATCGTTAAGAGTATACGTAGACTTAACGTAGGCAGAAACTTCTGAACTCATCAACGCGCGTGCTCGTAAATATGAAACGCTTAACGACTTCATAACGCAGATTAAGATTATACTCTACTAGAAGCGGCAATTAAATGTTTCAATAACTATACTATTTTTGTTAAAAAAAATCAAACAAAAATATTGAACTAAGATATATTCATGTACAAATGTTACGAAGGTGACTCACAATAAGAACTAAATTAGCTTGTGTCACTTCCAGTAGCGGACTATGATTAATAGCTCTACGTTCTTGATGTTGAAATTCAGCGTTAGAAAGTTTAATAAGATGTTATACTCGTGTGTAAATGACGACAACATTTCTTTTAAAAATAACCCAAAACATAAAAGTGCAAAACATTAAGTGCAGACAGATTATTTAGGGCTGTTTATAAATACGTGAAAAACCATTTTAATTGTTTATTTTATCGACATTCAACATTTACAGTTGTAAATAGCGAGACACTATTTGATAAGTTGTAAAATATTGTAACATTTATACGAGTACGTTTATCTTCTACATAATAAGGCTGTCTTTCTTGGAATAGCAAGATTTCCTCCTGGTAAAGTAGACTGTTTCTGGAATTTCCCTGAAACTATGCTTACAACCTCTACAGTAAACCTCTGGATGAATTCTTGATATTTCTCAGAATTGTTTAAACGAACTTTGTATTTGTAAAGAAGTTTATCGAGTTAATTCATAGAATCGACAAGCAACAGTGGTAAAGAGGCTTCAAAGGATAATTAACGTTTTACATTTCTTTTCTATTTTTTTTTATAAGTTATAAGGTTTATTTTATACCAATAAGAAAACTGTATAATTTAAAATATTAAAACGATCTTCGAATCTAAATATTTATGTTCGAAAAACGATTGTGGATTGTTATCTTTATATCCTTCTCAGTTTTATTTTTTATTCGTCCCGACAAATGTTTACTGCGCCGTTTGTTTTCTAACAAAGATCTCCGGCGAAGCGAAAATAAAGCTTAATATGCACATATTTCCAAATTTATTCCTCAATTGATACGTTTCATTGGCGCTGCGGTGAGTTTCTATAAGGATTTTCATACGGCCTTGGATCCTTGGATGTTTTTATTAGATTAGTGAAACTGACGTCGAGTTCTAGACTAATAGAGATATATCACATACTAGTGATATACCCTGACTTGTTTTGGAAACCATAGTATTAAATTATCTTCTGTATTATTTCCGCTAATGATATCTGTAACAGTACATACCATATTAGAGCTGATTTCCAAAATATATTCATGAATTACACTGGACGTTCTTTGTGTAATTTAGCTTAAATTTATTTAAAATTCTTTCAAAGCCATGAATAGATGAACATTAATACAAACAGAATGGGCAACATTTAGCGATAACAGGAACAGTATCGTGTTAGGATGCAATCGACCGTGAAGGCGTTATCGATGAAATGTAGAATGTATTCTGTGGTTTTGCGACAGAACAGCGTCGTTACATTTTATTGCTTTGTTTTCAGTCATAGGTCGCATTGACGGCTATTTTTGCTTCTATTATGTCTAATCGGTATTGTATCTCTAATGTAATAAGTGTTAAATGTCTTAGTTTTCTAATAAATATTAACCCTTACAACAGTAAAGGTCACGATAAATTACAAATAATATTTGATCTTCACACTTTCAAAATTAATTTCAAAGTTTTATATAATTCTGATATACTCGTGATAATGAATATCAGGTTTGTGTGTTTGTTCGTTTGACACAATTTTAAACAAAATAGTACCAAAGAAAAGTTTTCAATGTAAAGTTTGTATAGAAAATTATAAAATAACTGTAATATCAAAAAGTTTGTCGCAACTTCGACGACGCAATTAAAATAATTACATCAAATACAATTCCTTCTTGTTTCTAATTTATCATCTTCAAATTCATTAACTAATCAAACTTTTATGTGA